TAAAGTGTTCGCAAATAAAAGACTTGGATCGAGAAATTTTCTTTGGAAAATCTTGCCTGACAACTTGTACTTTAAACAATTAATGATCACATGTATGCAATTTTTTTCTTTGAAAATTATTAACGTGTGGCTTACCTGATCTGTACTTCAAAAAATTTTTGTATGATAAGTAATCTTCCTCTGAAATAATGGTTCTCAGTGTCGCCTCTCTGAGGTCAAGCTCTTTCAGAACCTCTGCTCTTACAAGCGTAACTTGAACCACTTCATTAAGATGCCCTGTGCGGTAATCCTTCCACAATGCCTCGAGGACCTCTAATGAACTGCAGGAAACTGTTACGATCAAGCTGCCTAGTCGGTAGCCCTGAACGTCAACTCCAAGCTTTAATTTCAGATATTCAAGCAATAGGTCTAGCGGTTTCTTGAATGAATAAACAACATACCAGAAGTCAAGAACTATTGGACGATTGGATGGAGAGGATGGACCTGTTGGAGTGTCTTGATGGACCTGTTGGAGTGAAGTACCACTTGCTTTAACAGAGTCAACAAGGATGAGTATATCCATGTGCATTTGCTCTTGTTTAATTTTCATCTGCTTCACCTCTTCCGCCAACTCTTCTACTTTGTCTTTAGTCTCTATTTCTTTTCTGTACCATAACCGAAGTTGTATGACATTTTCTTGTGCATCTGGTGATAGTGGGTCATGGAAAAAGCTTTCGATGGACTTCTTCCACTCATCCCTCTTTGCACTACTTATGCCGCCGGCAATTCTCAATAGTGCCCCACTGATTTTCTCCCAAAGCTTCTTAAAATCAGCATCTGTTATCTCCATACTGTGGTTGTGACCATAAATTTCGTTACGATAAATCCTGATTCTAACCAAGTCTGCTTCAAGACTGTGATTAGTGCTGGAAGGTAAGGTGTCCCATCCAGTAATGGGTGAGGGGAGGTTGCATATTTCTCGAAGCAATTTACAAAGTAAACTGATATCAAAATCCGTCGACAATCCATAAGCTCCTGACGATGGGTTGTAAAGGCACTCCCACTCGGGGTACGTAAGGACTCTGTTTCTTCTAAGAGTTTGAAGCTGCTTCTTTACGGCAGGGTTACCAAGCACAGCTGGAAGATTAGCTGGTGGATGGATGGCGTCAAACACTTCCCTTAAAAGTGCGAGTCCTCCACGCATCAGAAGCCGTGCCAACCGCTGAAAATTAGCCTTTTCATCTGTTGTACGTAACTCGTCATCTGCAGCAGATGGTTTTGTACCTGTAGCCATTTCTTTGAAAGCATCCGAGGAGGTACTATTGACTAAAGAAACAACTAACAGCAAAAACATCTCACTTCAACAAATTTTTAAAAGTAAACTGCGTAAAACGTAACTGTCTGCTATGGGAAATTCTTTGCATAGCGAGTAAATACACTCTTACAAAAGAGCACAGAAAATGTATGTTGTGGGCCCACTGGATCAACTTTTCCCCTGCTAGTGAGAAAATCTCCAGTTAGAATCATTTTATTGGGTGCATGCCTCTTCAGAAATGTAGACAAATGGATATATGATTGAATGAAACATTGTGTCAACAGAGACAAAAAAAAATTTAATGGAGGCCCACTTTCAACACACTATTTTCACCAAGCGATTTTACAAAACTAGTTTCGTCTTATTACCTCTTCAGTTATATAAGACGAATCTAGTTTTGTAAAATCGCCTAGAGAAAATAGTGTGTTGAAAGTGGATCTCCCTTACATTTTTCTTTTCTCTGTTGACATAATATTAAGTAACACTTTCTTGACTTCAACGAACAAAATTTGGCAGTATTAAATGAAACCTATACTATTATAGTGATTAGACAAACATAACCATTTAATATAAGGGGGGTGTTCCTGATTATGACAGGAAGAAAATGCTTAATTCCGTCCACCGTCCACGCTCATTGAGGTGAGTAGTGTTAGCCTAGTGTCACGCAACAAGGGTTTAAAGTGATACTTGACGTTTAAACTTTTCAGATAACTTTAGTTTTTCTGTATCCCAATTTTTAGCCAATTTTATTGACCGTCCTAGAGTGCAAAGGAATGTCCTGAGGATCACAGTCAGCGTTTGACCTGTTTTTACTTACATGTACTTTACTTAGAGTGTGTGTCTACAGAGCCTACTAAAATACCTGCCACCGTGAGAAATATCTCATTTGCAAGTACAGACATGAACTGAATGCCGGGTAAACGAAGATCTGATTCAAGTTTGCATCGATGAGATGTAAAGGATCAATTTTAGCCTTTGACAGGGAGAGAAAATCAACTTTTTAAAGTCAAAATAGGTTAATATATAAAAAAATTTATATTAACAGCTCGTCGCTTCAAGTATATATGCTAATTACGTATCCTATTGACATTATTCTCAGAAGATATGAATAGAATCGATGCCCAATTCCTCCTTGAAACAAACTGTACATGCGATCTCGAATATAACGGGTTACAAAAGAATACAAATGTACACCAGTTTACCCTTTTATAATTTAAATTGGGAAGAAGAAAGTTCTCATATTTATCGAATTTTTATACCTCTCCTTCACCTTGGTTTTCGAATCCGATGATCTCTAGGATAAAATCTGTAAAAACATTTCAGCTTTCAGCAACATTTTTTTTAAAGTTTGAGGTTACAAAGATTTTAAAACAAAGTTACCTTTAGTTAGTTTCTAAATAGTTCACATGCAAGGAGTTTAGAAGCGAGTTACCTGTCCACGGCATCCAGAATTAAACCATAAAAACAGTGATCGACAACCACTTCCGCCTTTTCGTATCATGGAATATGATTGCACTTGCGAAATCTTCAAATTCCACCTTTAAATTATAAGGTTGAATTGAAACTCAAAAATGGTTTTTATCCTTCATAGTGTGCTACACTAAAGATAGTACAGCATAATAACTTATCAAGCGGCTAAAAATCGGCCAGTCTATACCGACCTTCTCTCGGGCGCCATCTTTCAAGCTAGGTGTGGAAAGAAAATTCTAGTTTCCAGAATCCTTAGATCCACGGCCATGCAAATGTGGTTCCCACCCACACATTAAAAATTTATGCAATTCATAACATAGACGTTTGCAGTTCATAACATAGAATTCGAACGATTGACAGTGTGTTATCAAGCAATTATTACTGAGAATTTTGTACTTGGCTCTATTTTCTGTACGGTAAATGATCGTAAAAGAAATATAAATAGGGCTTCTAACAATTTTCAGCTGCAACTTGTCTTCCACCATAAGTATCTTACAGAAAATGAATTAAAAATGCCCCGTGAAATCCTAAGACCTGGAAATAAAACGGCTAGGAAACACTGCCCATAAATCTAAAAAGTTCTAGCTAAGCAAAGCGGAGGTTCCTGATAAAGTCAAGCATTTTTTTATAAATCCCAAAACAACCTTTTTGAAAACACAAATATACGTTTATTTTTACCAAACAGTTTTTCTCACATCACTGTGGAAGCTAATAAGACGCCAAATTAGCTAGTTTCAAACTAGAAAACCCAGCTTTAGAGGCCCTGTACTTGAGAGCTGTACTTGTCCGATGGAAGGGCTTATGATGACGTCAAAGTCACACAATGTGAAAACAGCTAAAGATAATAACCCACTGTCGATATTAAATGCTTTTCAACGTAACACCGTGTAGTTGAAAAGCTGTTTCATTACGGTTCGTAGCATTTTTGTCACATTTGTGTCAACCTTTTCTTCTTAATTACTCAGTTTTTTAATAGAGGTTACGTAACTACATTTTATTATACACTATGAATATTTGTATAAATATCGACGTATAGACTTTTTTGGCTATCTCGCCTTTTGGACAGCCGTTATCGGTGACCAAACTAGAAGTTTTGTTTATTCTTTCTTTTGCTTCGATGGATGGTGATTCTGCTCAGCCAGAGACCGTCCTTTCCCAAGGTCAAGCAATCTTTGCTCCTTCACTTTCTGCTGGCCCTGCTGCAACTGGTTCGCCTGCGGCTTCCGCACCGATGTTGGCTGAGCTTAAAAGTTTCTTGTCTCACGAACTTTCCTCCTTTAAGGAAGAGTTGAAAAGGCAGAACGACGATTCCATCAACTCTGCCGTTAAGAAAATTCGTTTAGAAAACTCGGCTCGCCATTCCTTTAAATCTAAGGGCAACGAGGAACAGTACAACCACCAAGAGAAGGTCGCTACTCACTTCGACAGCGCGATTGAATCCCTCCATTCCGGCAAACTCCTCGAAGTCAGGAATGTTTTAGAGGAAGGTAAGAACCTTGTTGCGACCCGCATGAAGCATATAGTTCTCGCTGATTTACACGGTTGGGATTTCGTTACTGAGTATAAACAGATTCCTTTAGCTGAGGACGAGTCCGACGAGAAGAGGATTCGCAAGGTTTTGAAAGATGTGGAAAGTCAAAGGGAGAAGAGAAAGACGGAAAAGGCTAAAAAAGCCAATAAATTTAAGCTCGATTCTAGACGTTCCTCCCCTGCTCGATCATATTCTAACGAGTTTCCTGTTTTTCCTTCCATGAGCGGCTGTTACCTCTGCGGTAAGCCAGGGCACTTCTGGAGGAACTGCTATCGTTCAAGAAACTCTCCCGCTTCAGGCAGCAACGCAGGCTACTCTTGGCAACGCCAGTTGGTACAGTTACCATTGCAGCCAACAATTATGCCCGCCAATCAGGGATCCAAGTAATTCTGGGTCCGATGTTATTAATTTACCTTCGTACGACGATTCAGGTGAAACCGATTTTATAGATTTATTCGATTACAACAATGCAGATGTAATCCAGGATTCAGCTCCTGAGCAGTCAGTTCAAGGCCGTATTGCTGCTCGCAAGGCTTGGTGGTTCAATAATTTGCAGTTATCTGCCCTCGTTTTTGGAGTTTTATTGAATTGTTACATGATCCCGTTCATTGCTCTACCTCCACCTTGTTACCTTACGAACAATAGAAGTGCGCTTAATAATGCAGAATTTGTTGTCAAGGCTATTAACGAGCTTTTACTGAATAGATGTGTGATAGAGGTATTTTCGAGACCTTATTGTTGTAATCCGCTTTCTGTTGTTGTAGGACGTAAGTTGCGTTTAGTTTTAGATCTTAGTAGATCCGTTAATCCTTTCGTTAAAAACTTTAAGTTTAAATATGAAGGTCTTCCTACTTTGGCGGTTATGTTTCGTGAGAATTTTTGGTTTTTCACCTTTGACATTGAGTCGGGTTATCATCATTTGGATATTAACTCTAATTTTTGGAAATTTCTAGGATTTTCGTGGTCTTTCAATGGCGTTGTTAGGTATTTTGTTTTCAGAGTTTTGCCCTTCGGTCTGTCTTCAGCTTGTTATTTATTTACGAAGATGTTTAAACCGTTCGTTGCTCGTTGGAGATCCTTTGGTATTTTTGCTATTGTGTATATTGATGATGGAATCTTTGCCTGCAGATCGTTATTAGATGCTCAGTCCGCTAGTAAATTAGTCAGGTCTGATCTCCAGCTTTCTGGCTGGAAGTCTAACGAGAAGAAGTCCAATTGGGAGCCCCGTCAGTTGGGGGAGTGGTTAGGAATAATTGTTGATACAATTCGAATGCTTTTTATCATCCCAGAGAAAAAGATTGTGAAGTTAAAGTCAGTTTTGACTGGTCTTATTAACGAATTTCCTAACCTTCGTGTTAGGGACGTAGCTCGTGTTTCTGGATTTGTGATTTCCCTTTCTGTTGCTTTGGGGCCTATTGCCAGATTATTTACTAGACAGATGTATTTTTTCATTCAATTGCGACATTCGTGGGATGATGTACTTGTTGCAACTGAAGGAGTTTTACATGAATTAAAATTTTGGTTAATGCATGTAGAAGCGTTTAATGGCTATCCTATAAATAGACCTTTGTCGTCTACCGTGGTTTTAACCTGCGATGCCAGCGAGTCTGGTTATGGTGCTCACATCTCTTTTGGTGGCGAACGGAGGTTTTGTTCCGGAACGTGGAGTTCTGTTGAGCGTGCTAAGAGCTCTTCTTTTCGTGAGTTACTGGCTGTTTACTTAGCCTTGAAAAGCTTTCAGATCTTTATTATTGGTAAGAAGGTTAAGATCTTTTCAGATAATCAGAACGTTGTTCGTATTGTACATGCTGGGAGCAGTATCATTCACTTGCAGCAGATTGCTGTCGATATTTTTAGTTTTTGTATGACTAACAGCGTGTCTTTTCAGGCTCAATGGATTCCCAGAGGTGACAACGAGCTGGCCGACTATTTGAGTCGCATCGTCGATCCTGATGACTGGATGTTGCATCCTGATTTGTTTAAGTTGATTACATTTAAGTGGGGTCCTTTTGATGTTGACAGGATGGCGTGCAGTTACAATACTCATTTGCCTCGTTTTAATTCTAAGTTTTGGTGTCCTGGTACTGAAGCAGTGGACTGCTTTACGCAGGATTGGGGGAAAGAATGTAACAATTTTGTTTGTCCGCCTCCTCACTTAATTAGCGCAGTATTATATCACATGGAATCGTGTAAGGCTAAAGGTACTCTTGTTGTGCCAGAGTGGAAATCTGCGCCTTTTTGGCCATTGCTATGTTCTTTTGATCGTTCGCTTTTATTTCAAGACTTTGTTAAGGATTTTTGTTATTTACCTAAATCTGGTGATATGTTTATTCCTGGTAGGGGTTCATCTTTTGTTTATTCTAACAAAAGGTCCGTTTTTTCGTGCATGCCCAGGTTTAATGTTCTCGCTCTTCGTCTGGATTTCTCCTGCTAAGCGCGTTATTTTCGATTTGTCGATTACACGTATGTTCCTTTTTTATTTGTTTCTTCATATAGATGTTTTTCAAGCTGGATTGTGGTCTCAGAGGTTTCAGCCTTTGCCTAACAAGTTGAAAGGCCTGGCCGACTCTCTTCCTGCTTTTGTACTTTGCTCTAAAGCCACGTCTTCCAATGTTAAGTATAAAAATGCATGGCTTAATTGGAAAAAATGGGAAAAGGATAATGTAGGTTATAATCAGTTCCCCGTTTCTCCTTTTTTGTTTTGTTTATATCTAAGAGAGAAAGTTGAATCATGTAATTCTCCTGCACCTATTGAAGCTGCTTTTTATGCAGTTAGGTGGGCTCATGAAATTGCCGGAGCTAGTTCTCCAACCGAATGCAGTCTGGTTAAACAAGTTTTGGAAGCTTCTAAACGTTTATTGGGTAAACCTGTTCAAGGGAAACAATCTGTTGACGTTGACTTAGTCACTAAAGTTGCAGAAAAATTTAACACTCCTCAGGCTTCTATTTCTAACCTTAGAATCTGTTTTATATTTATTATTGCTTTTGCTGGTCTCATGCGTTGTGACGAAGTTATTCGCATCAACAGAAGTCATATTTCTATTTTTTCTGATCATATGTCAATTTTTTGTCCTAAGCGTAAGAATGATCAACGTTCTCAAGGGCATTTCTTTTATTTTGCAAGGTCAGGCAAGATTACTTGTCCTGTTTCCATCACTGAAAAAATGTTATCTAAATTGCCTGATAATCCTGTTCAGCCTTTAGTTTGCAGACTTTCATCAAAAGGCACTGCCCTTCAACATTCTATCTCTTATTCTAGAGTTAGGGAAATTTTCCGCGAGACTATAAAAATGTTTGTCAAAGATGTTGACAGATACGGTACTCATAGTCTCAAAAAGGGCGGCGCTACCGCATCAAACGCTGCTGGTATTTCTGGAGAGTTTCTGGATAGGCATGCTGGCTGGAAGTCAGCCAAATCTAAGGATAGTTATATAAATGTTAGTACCAAAGATAAGTTAATGGTACCCAGAGCAATCAATTTGTAACTTTTTTGCTTTTTTGAAGTAGACTGCTTTTTCCCGCACGTTCGTTTCTCGTCTTTGTTTTTTCTCTCGCGCTGGTCCATTGTGTCCATTAGGCACCCAGCAAGAGTCACACTCCATATATGTCGTTGTGTTTTCATTCGCGATTTGCGCGCTGTGCGAAGGGTAGTAATGAATAAATGCTTTTCAACGTAACACCGTGTAGTTGAAAAGCTGTTTCATTACGGTTCGTAGCATTTTTGTCACATTTGTGTCAACCTTTTCTTCTTAATTACTCAGTTTTTTAATAGAGGTTACGTAACTACATTTTATTATACACTATGAATATTTGTATAAATATCGACGTATAGACTTTTTTGGCTATCTCGCCTTTTGGACAGCCGTTATCGGTGACCAAACTTATTGTTAGTTCCTTAGTTAGTCTAAAGCTCTAATCCTCGGAGCTCGATACACTGCATTCGATCGAGGAGTACGTTCCCGGTTTTTTTTGTCCCACTGGGTTTTTTATTCCGGGTTTTCGTACCGGGTAGTGTATCATTCCTTTGATTCTACTTTTTGTCACGTTCCATATTATTTAAATGTTCGTTTATGTTGAAATTATATTATTTCTGTAATTTTTTATATTACTTCAAGAGCATTTGTATTGTTGGACTGTATTGCTAAGATATCTTGTCAATAAAGCACGCGCTGGTCCATTGTGTCCATTAGGCTCCCAGCAAGAGTCACACTCCATATATGTCGTTGTGTTTTCATTCGCGATTTGCGCGCTGTGCGAAGGGTAGTAATGAAATTTAAATTCTAACATGACTCGGAGGCTTTCTGGTCATTTTTCTGAATTTGGCTTGGTTTTCTTTGTGATCAAGTCTCTCTTAGGAATTGCGAGACAATGGAGTCGTGAAAATTTTTCAATTTTGACCCTAAAACCTCGGGGTCATGTTAGAATCGCCGCGTGAATTGAATAAAATCTCGCATTCTGATTGGTTAACGAAGCGAGGTATTTAGCGTGGAATTGCGAGTTGAAAACGAGGCTAAGTGGTACTGTTTCGCATCTACATGTACGTAATAACTATCGTCAAATTGTAACACAACAAATGCAAAAAGGTTTCATTTCTTTCAGTTTTCCCACCGAAGAGGTAAAAGGTGTAAATTATTTTCCTTCTCGAGCAAATGATTTGGAAATTTGAAAAAAGATTGTTATAGATAAACGGGTTGTAAATTCAGTGAAATACCACTATTTATCCTTAAGATTAGCATGAAGCTTGTTTAAAAAGTTTGAAAACAAATGTAAAAACAAGCACAAGTTACAAATAAAGTTGTCGAAGGTTCAAACGTGCTTCCTATTCGCTAACGCAATGACAGTTCAGACAGCAGTTGACTTTGAAATGGCTTTCTGGAGCGCTCGCTCAGGTAAAAAAACAAACTATATTATTGCTGTTTCTTTTTTCTTATTTTTATTCAATTACGCGATTCAAGGAAAATCCATTACCTGACTCGTGAATTCCGCGTTAAATTGCACGCGAAAACCGATATCGCCCTCGTCAGGTAATAAATTTTTCTATAGAATTTTAATATATTGAACATAGGCTATTGCTTAAGATATAAACTTGGAACACACTATGTCATATATGAGCAAACCCAATTAACGGTGAGACCATTTTTTGGTTATTTTTTCATATTGATGCATGAGAAAACAGCTGACAGAATTTTCCGCCGCGAAACAAGGGTAAAATCAGCAGTGGAACCGCCTCAAAAACTTCTCTGTTTACTCAGGCATTGTAGTTTTTAAAATATTCGTTGTCAATAGGTACAGGTTTGTCATAAAAATAACTAAAAACAATAATAAAACATACAGAAAGTACTTTGGTTGGCGACTAACATAATGCAAAGACCGCACTAGTGGATTTTGGAGAACAAAATCCTGCTTATATATAATGAGGGAAAGATTGATTTCATGGTCGATCTATTGCTTCCAAAAGTTTGTAGAGTATTATGATATGTTCATTTGATTACAAGTTGTGTGCACTTCACCCTCCTTTGCACCAATCACTCATTGTCTATTATTATTCATTCAAAATATTTCCCCGATTCTGATTGGCTAAAAGTACACGCATAATTCATCATAACCCAGTTACTGTTTAATGAGGAAATGACGTCAAAAATGCAGCGTTCTTGCAGGTTAATGCACCGTTAACCGAGAAGACCTGGGGACGAGGTTGAGTTGTTTTGCTTGTGTACTTAAAAAATGGCGGACATTTCACTCGTTTCAAGAGTAAGAACTAGGAGAAAAAATAACAAAAAACAAGGCAAGAACAGCAAGAAGACAACTCGAAGGGCGACATCTGCTATTTGGAGAATATTTGCGGAGCTGAACAACCCTAACCGTACACTATCGAAGATGAACTTAACATCGATGGGTCGATGGAGGTAAGCATGTGTTAGCCATGTTTTTAAACAAGAAGTTATTTTGAATGAATAATAAAACAATCATTGATTTCAGCTTTCGTATCATATGAAGAATTATGGAGATCTCGGAGGGTATTATCCGCCTCGACCTACCGCCTCGACGGATAACACCCTCCTCGATCTCCATAATTCTTCATAAGATACTCAGCCTCATTCATTAATTGTTAATTATATTATTATATGATTTAAATGCCAACAAATTATAATATAAGAAAACACCCGCATATAAGAACAGGTGGATCAGGCTGAAAGTTGGACAAAAAAGCACCACATAGAAGCAAGTCAGCCTGATAAATAAAACATGTTGTTAGACAAAATGAAAAAGGATGCCCCAGAATAACAAACCAATGAAACAAGCGAGTGGCTGTTGGTCTAGTGAACTAAGAAATGTTATGAAATGTTAAAACTGCTTAACAACTTGACGTTGAGTTTTTAATTGTTAATACTCAGATTAGTTATAGTATTCATCTATTTTTTTATTTCGAATTTCTTTGTCGTGTAAGTAATAAAAATTGTATGTCAATTAAACCTCTATTAAGGTATAATGTATTGTTTTTTTGAAACAAATTTGAAGAACATTTCAAGAACATTTTCAGGCTGATTTCTTACTAAGCACCTAGTAAAATAATAAGAACTTGATTAGCCTGAACTCCGAAATCAGAGGTTCTAAAATATGCGGGTGTTTACTGTATAGTAACAACAATACATCTACGGCTAAGTCAATAAAGCTACTGGCCCACTCCTGACAAGTTCGTGAAACAGGTGTTTTCCCTTCACGAACATGCCTTTCATTGACTTAACGTTACCACGTTGACCCCGCAAAGTAACGTTTTCTAGCAAAAACTATAGGCAACTCTGGCCGAAAGTTAGCGAAACAAGCGCAACTCTGTCTTTCTTCTTTAAAATGATTCTAGCTAAACTCTAAAGTAAATAATACAAATGTTCAATTTGTTCAGTAATTCCTGCTAAGGCTATCTTCATACTATACCCAATAGCTTTTCGTACCGAGCCATCCGGTATAGCATGACGGAACAGCAAAGACAGAACTGGAACAAGTCGTATACACACATCGAATATCGTGGCAGAGCGGTTGGCGGAGACAGAGGGTTTAGTGAACTAAATCATAGTCCACACGCCTGACTTTTTACTTCCGTCTCAGTGGAATCGATCGAGTCCCCGCTTCTACTTACTCACTTCCGCTACAGACTGCACTAAACTGTGGCACAAAACCTATCCGATGTATGACGCTCCACTTTTGATATCGGCGCGGCACAACTTCGCTCCGTCCCAGTAATCGCGCCGAAGTCACCGTAATTATGGTGAACAGAAGCTATATCCGGTAGGATTTTTGTGCCGGCAAAACAGATATCGGGTATAGCCTTAGGCTCGATTTCCAGGAAGAGCTCGCGGGTCTCATATCCCAAACACCGATATTTTCTTAATAAACAACTAAAATACACCTCAGTTTAGTTTTATTATCTGAGCTGATTATAAGTCGATTAACAACTTAAAGAGACTGAGTCAGGTTTACTGACGGAGGGCACTCGAAACGCCCACTTTTTAAAATCTTTTCGTAGTGATAATTTGCCAACTCAGTTGTTAAAACTAAATCATTGTGTTTCTCCCCCTTGCCCATACAGCATCAAAGTGTCTTCGGTAGTGTTCATTTATGAGTCTACTTATAGCTCAATAATTGCGTTCTATGGCCCCTTATACAAGGGGACTACATGCACAAGTCTTGTAGTAAAAGTGTAGAAGAAGCTAGTAAGTTAATTAACAAACATTGCAGAGTATTGTAAATGACAACGCTGATAATAAAATGACAAAAAATTAAAAATAGCGAAATAAGTTAAAGCCCGATAAATTCCTAAAAAATCTAAAAAATTTAAGAAGACGCACTGTCCTCTATTATATAGGCTTTGTCAGGTCACGGAACAAGCTATCACACGTGCATTCGCTGAGGACTGTCACTGTATTCCAAATTGTACGTTGAGGGTGGATGAATTAGACGAAGGGCGTCAGGGCAGCCCTAACGGAAGTCTAATGCACTAAAACCTATAAACCCTAGCCGAGTCTTTTGGGAGACGATCACTAATATCTCGACAATTATGACACCCAGCTTTATGTTAAATTGTGTACTGCAAGGTATAAAGAGTTCTCTCCCTACAATCAAGCGAGTCGCGAATTTTGGCCCATAATCTGATAAGCGATCACTACTCTTATTTCTTTATTTTACTAATTTGTCTCTTTATTTTACCAGTTTTAAGGCCAGAAATTTGACATGTTCATTTGTTGTCTATTCTTGTATTAGCAACCCCCCC